GGTGTCTCTCAGGTAGACCCTCCTCCCGTCGCTGAGCCTGTCGAGGTCACAGGTGACTCAGGTGCTGCTGCAGGTGGTGCTGCTGGGAGTGCTGAGCCTGGGGGTGCTGAGCCTGCGGGTGCTGGGCCTGGGAGTGCTGGGACTGCGGGTGCTGGAGCTGAGGGTACTGTGCCTGGGAGTTCGGCGCCTGGGGGTGCTGAGCCTGGGGGTGCTACGACTGGGGGTGCTGAGCCTGCGTGTACGGAGTCTGGGGGTGCTGAGCCTGGGGGTACTGCGCCTGAGGGTACTGGGCCTGGGGGTGCTGCTGCTGAGCCTACGGAGCCTGGGGTTGCTGCGTCTGGGGGTGCTCTTCCTGACGGTACTGGAGCTGCTGGAGCTGACGACACTGGAGCTGACGGTTCTGGACACGGTGGTCCTGCTGGTTCTGGAGGTGCTGGCGAGGGGAGGTCTGACGCTGCTGGGGCCTCTGGTGCTGACGTCGCCGACTCGGGGGGTGCTGCGGCGGAGGGTGCTGGTCCAGGTGCTTCTGGTGCTCCGGGTGCTGGAGGTGCTGGCGGAGCTCCGCCGTCGCGCCTGTTCTTCGCTCCTCCGTCGCCGTCGGCTTTGCCGCCGCCTGACACGGTGCTTCGCCAGGTTCTTTCCCTCCCGTCTTCCACTGGCCTTCCCCTTCAGCCTGGCTCCCCCCTCCCTGCTCCTGTGCCTTACACTGCACAGCCGGACTCGCTTACGGAGCGTCGTGAGCCTGCGTCTCGTCCTGCCTCGCCTGTTCGCGCTGCTCGCGCTGCTCGCACTGCGCGCACTGGTCCCACTGGTCGTCGTGTCGCGCGTCCGCGTCCTCCTCCTGTTCCTGGCACGCATATTATGGCCCTTCGTCCTTCCACTGGTCCACAGCGTGTCCCCCTACCGTCTCCTCCTGCGTCTTCTCTTCCTGACGTTCCCGACCCTGAGTCTGACAGTGTTCGTGCTGCCCACCCTACTGTTACGCGTCTTCTCGCCACTGTTGTCACTGACCCGTCGTTTGAGTCTGCTGCTGCGTCTGCCCTGGTCGCTGAGCTTGTCGACTTTGCTGCTGCCTGTCGTCTAGACTACGCCGCCAGTCTTGTTACTGAGTCTGAGTCTGTCTGTCCTCCGTCCGTCGGGGGTGAGTGTGCTCTTGGCACGGACGTCCTTGAGGACAGGCAGGAGGACTTTGACTCTCTTGCGGCTGCTGTACCTCATCTCGTGGCCTGGTTGCTTGCCCCTGAGGGAGACCCGGATGCACTAGACATCCCCACTCCGCGCTCTTACGCAGAGGCGATCTCGGGTCCCTACTCCTCTCAGTGGCAGACAGCCATGGACGCAGAGATGGCATCCTGGAAGTCCACAGGCACCTACGTCGACGAGGTTCCCCCTCCTGGGGCGAACATCGTCGATGGCATGTGGATTTTCAGGGTGAAGCGGCCGCCAGGTTCTCCACCTGTCTTCAAGGCTCGTTACGTTGCTAGAGGCTTCAGTCAGCGTCAGGGGGTTGACTTCTTCCAGACCTTCTCCCCCACCCCGAAGATGACCACTCTTCGGGTTCTGCTACACGTTGCTGCTCAGCGTGACTACGAGCTTCACTCTCTTGACTTCAGCACAGCGTTCCTGCAGGGCAGCCTGCACGAGGAGATCTGGCTGCGCCGCCCACCTGGCTTCACTGGGTCGTTTCCTCCTGGTACCCAGTGGAGCCTCCGCCGGCCAGTCTACGGTCTCCGCCAGGCGCCACGTGAGTGGCACGACACACTGAGGACTACACTTGCAGCTCTTGGGTTCGCGCCGTCTACTGCTGACCCGTCGCTGTTTCTACGCACAGACACGTCGCTACCGCCGTTCTACATTCTCGTGTACGTCGACGACTTGGTCTTTGCTACTGCTGACACTGAGGCACTCGCTCGTGTGAAGTCGGAGCTGCAGAAGAGACACACCTGCACTGACCTGGGTGAACTGCGTAGCTACCTTGGCTTGCAGATCACCCGGGACAGAGCTCGCCGCACCATCACCCTGACTCAGTCACACATGGTGCAGCAGGTCCTTCAGCGCTTCGGCTTCCAGTTCTCCTCACCACAGGCCACACCTCTGGCTACCAGCCACTCGCTCTCAGCTCCACCTTCGGACGAGTCCGTAGAGCCGAGTGGCCCGTGTCAGAATGTTATTATTGTCTAGCCTCAGAGCAGGTCGACCCTCCTGGGTCGATCCTGTGGGTGGGCCCACCACCTAATGCTTCCGCTGCTTTACTTCCTGCCGGGCGCCTCGGGCGCGCGACGACTTCTTCCTGCCGGCGAATTTTTTCTAGGGTTTCGGCGGTTTTCATCCCGCCGTGCGCTCGGGGCGCGCGGCGGTTTTCTGCACGCCGTGCGCCCCGAGGCGCGCGGCGGTTTCCCACCGTCGAAGTGCCCCCCGTCGCCCGTCGAAGCGCCCTCCCCCCGTCGCCCGTCGAAGCGCCCCCGTCGCCCGTCGGAGCGCCCCCCGTCGCCCGCCAAAACGCCCCCGTCGCCCGTCGAAGCGCCCCTGGGACCCGCGCGCGGCCCGTACGGGCTGCGCCAGGCCCGCGCGCGGCCCGTACGGGCTGCGCCAGGCCCGCGCGCGGCCCGTACGGGCTGCGCCAGGCCCGCGCGCGGCCCGTACAGCCCGCGCGCGGCCCGTACGGGCTGCGCCAGGCCCGCGCGCGGCCCGTACGGGCTGCGCCAGGCCAGCGCGCGGCGCGGGCAGCCTGCGCGCGGCGCGGGCAGCCTGCGCGCGCCTCGTCCGTCCCCCTCTCGCCGTCCCCCGCGCTCCTGCCCCTATCCCACCCGTTTTAGGGTTTGGGGATGTAGAGTGTGGGGGTGGCGGGTGTGGGGGTGCCGGTTGTGTGCCCCGTCCCCTCCTTCTCCTCCTCCTCCGTCTCCCGCTGCTGCAGCTGCCGCTCAGGGGGGTGGTTGTGTGGGGAGCCGAAGGAGTGGTCCTAGGGGGGTGAAGGGGGAGTGGAGCTAGGGGCGCAGCAGGGGGTGTGTGTCGAGGGGCGTGGGACGGTCGGGGGAGGTTGCGTGGAGGTAGCCGTCGTGACGCCAGCAGCGCCAGTAGTCCGGATGCCCTCGCGCGTTTCGGTAGCCCAGCGAGCCTGCTTCGCCAGTTGCCTGTGGGTCCGTTGCTCCTGTGTGTGCTCGTCGTAGCCGCGGAGCCAGATACTCCCGTAGTCCGGTGCCCTCGTGCGCTCGGTAGCCACTGTGCGCGCCGCTCCTGTTGCCCGTGTGTCTGCAGCTTCAGTCGGCGCCTTTCATCTTCTCGCCCTCACAGTTTCTCCTCCTCCTCACTTGCCCTCTATGATCACCTCTAGCTTTGCTTATAATTGTGAACTATTGCTATGCCTGCTCATTGTACTGATTACACCCCACTTTGGCTATGGGGGTGTGTCAGAATGTTATTATTGTCTAGCCTGTAGTGGGGTGCTCTATAGCGAGTACAACCCAGTTAGGGTTTGCTATATGTACCCCAACTGCTGCTAGTGAAATCCCTCTCCTTTCAATACACCATTCTTGCCTAGTTATTCTGAGAGCCCGTACCCAGAGCTTGTAGGCTGCCTCATGTACCTGATGACTTGCACGCGACCTGACCTCGCGTACCCACTTAGCATCCTTGCTCGTTACGTTGCGCCTGGGAGACACAGGCGAGAGCACTGGGAGGCTGCTAAGAGGGTGCTGCGTTACTTGTGCAGTACATCAGGCATGGGGCTGGTGCTTGGAGGACGCGACAGAGTTGTCCTCACTGGTCACTCGGACGCTTCTTGGGTGGACGACCTGGCTACGCAGCGGTCGTCATAGGGTTACACCTTCAGCCTTGGCTCTGGTTCTGTCTCGTGGCGGTCCACCCGCTCTTCTTCTGTTCTCGGCTCTAGTTGTGAGGCTGAGATCTACGCCACAGCCATGGCTGCACAGGAGTTACGCTGGCTCACCTACCTGCTGACTGACTTGGGAGAGCGGCCTAGTTCTCCTCCAGTTCTGTACGGTGACAACAAGGCGGCCCTTGCCTTGTGTCAGGAGCACAGACTGGAGCACAGGACGAAGCACATTGCTCTTCGCTACTTTCTTGCTCGAGAGCTTCAGCAGCGCGGTCAGCTTCGGCTTGTGTACGTGGACTCGAAGGCCAATACTGCTGATATCTTCACCAAGGCGCTCCCGCCTAGTGATCATCAGCGGCACTGTACTTCTTTAGGCCTTGTGTCCACGTTTCCTCATTTGCTTACTGCTTGACTTTCTTTGTACTGTACTTTATATATATCTTGCTGCTTGTCCTGTTCTATATCTAGCACTGCATGTGAACTGGCCTTGTGGCCTTTGCTTGTGCTCGGAGTGTGGTGACGTTGTGATCCACCCTGGGCTTTGCTTTGCTTTGCTGGACTGGTCTTGTGACCCTTTGTTCTCCCCCACTTTGCCTATGGGGGTGTGTTAAACTGTATTATGTTGGTAGGCTGTAGTGGGGTAGCCAATATGGGGTACAACCCCAACTAGGGTTTGCTACTTGTACCCAATTCTTCCATTCAATGCATCATTCTTGCCTAGTTCTTCTGAAAGGGAACCCCAGCCACGCTGCCCGGCGATTCCCCTTTCCTCCGCTCGACTCCCTGTTCGAGCCGCGGGAGGCCCCTTCAAGCCTCCCGATTCTTCTGTCTAGCCTGCAGGTTCCCTTTTCCGTGGCCCTACTCCCTTCGCGTCGCCCGATTCACGTTCCTGCCGCCCGGTTCCCCTATCCCGCCGCCCGAATCCCCTTCTAATCGCGGTGCGTATCCCCTTACCCGCCCATAGATGCCGCCAGGGCCGGCCGACCTCCCCTTCCCGCCGCCCGATTCCCCTATCGCTCCGCCAAATACCAGTTCCCGCCGCCTTGATCGCGTTCCCGCCGCCCGATTCCCCTTTCGCGCCGCCCAATTCCCCTTTCGCGCCGCCAAATTCCAGCTCCTGCCGCCGGAGTCCCGTTCCCGCCGCCCGCTTCCCCTTTCCCGCCGCCCGATGCGCCTTTCCAGCCGCATGCTTCCCATTTCCCGCCTCCATACATGCCTACCCGCCTCCCTATTCCCTTTTTCCGTCGCCCGGCGAACCGTCCCTCCCTTCTCTCCCTTCCCTCACTTTCCTCCCTTCCCTCCTTCCCTCCCTTCCCCCCTTTCCCATCAATCCCACCCTTCTCTCCCGTCTCTCCCTTCCCTCCCTGTCCCCCTTCCCTCTTTCCCGCACCTGCCCTCCCTTCTCTCCCTTCCCTCACCTCCCTCCCCTCCCTCCTTTCCCTCCTTTCCCTCTAATCCCTCCCTTCTCTCCCTTCTCTCCCTTCCCTCCCTTTCTCCCTATGCCTCCCTTCTCTCCCTGCGCTCCCATCTCTCCTTTCCCTCCCTCCTCTTCCGTCCCTCCCTTCACTCCCTGCATTCCCCTCCCTCCTTTCCCTCCAATCCCTCCCTTATCTCCCTCCTCTCCCTTCCCTCCCTTTCTCCCTTCCCTCCCTTTCTCCTTTCCCTCCCTTCTCTCCCTCACTCACTTCCTCCTTCCCTCCCTTCCCTCCTTCCCTCCCTCCCTTCCCTCCCTTCCCTCCCTTCCCTCCCTTCCCTCCCTTCCCTCCCTCCCTTCCCTCCCTTCCCTCCCTTCACACCCTTCCCTCCCTTCACCCTTCCCACCCTTCTCTCCCCCCTTACCTTCTCTCCCTTCCCTCTCATCCCTCATTGCAATCTCCTGTCTCTCCCTTCTCTCCTTCCTCTCCTTTCTCTCCCTTCTTTCCCGTCCCTCCCTTCCCTCCCTTACCTCCCTTCCCTCCCTTCCCTCCATTCTCTTCATTTTCTCCCTTCTCCCCCATCCCGCCCATCTCTCTCACCCTACCACCCTTTTCTCACTTCCGTCTCATCCCCACTTCCAGACCCTCCCATCCCCACTTCCAGACCCTCCCATCCCCACTTCCAGACCCTCACATCCCCTTCCATCCCCTCCTATCCCCTTCCAGCCCCTCCCATCCCCTTCCAGCCCCTCCTCTCCCCTTCCAGCCCCTCCCATCCCCTTCCAGCCCCTCCCATCCCCTTCCAGCCCCTCCTCTCCCCTTCCAGCCCCTCCTATCCATGCGCACACAGCAGGTTCGTTTTCCTAATCATTTCACAAACTTTTCCACTCCCTTCTGCTGTTCCCCGCCAGAAATCAAGGATGTTCTCGCACCGTCGTGGGCGTTGGCGACGGTTGACGCTTGGTTTTAGAGTTGGTATTGAGGATGAGGACGATGAAGATGAGGAAGGAGAGCGGCGACGGGGGGACAGCAGGACTGAATCGCGTACTGATACTCGCGGCATCTCCGTGTCTAGGGGTTCGGTGGTTGCTAGCACGTCACACCCAATACGCACGGTTCGCCGTCGAAGGGTTGTACGACCCACTGGATTGCCCCCCCAGGTTTTTTACGCGAGCGAGAGTTGGTCACCCTCCGAATTCGCTGTACATCGTGCGAAACAGTACCATGTTCAAGTGGAGGGGGCTCGAAAGGAGCTTGGGTACGCGGACGGCGCAAGCAGTAGTGAGGGTAACGGAACCGTGACTGATGTCGTGCGAGTGTGTTTGGGTAAAAACACAACGGTGGATGCGCAGGGTCATCCGATCTTTCCCAAGAACCATCGTTTTCGTTGTTACATTGAATACTCTGAACTGCTGGGAGGCCATGCATGCGCCCGTGTGACTTTGCCTTGGTTGGTCTATGTGGTTATAGATCGCTGTATCCTGAGCCATCGGGTGAAGGCTACAAAAATTGCAGCCAGGGTGACATTGATTGGTTTGTATGCGAATGGGAAGTGCCTGACGAGATAGATTTTCGGATGAGGACATTCGTGCATGAGCATATGAGTAGCAACGTGATTCGTACCGAGGAATCCAGGGTGGGTTGACACTGTTACCAGCGACCAGATTGACTACTTTTTATTATAACCCGTGTGCTACTCCTTGTTACCAGGGTTTAGGATAACTAAATGCGTGGCAATGTATTACGGCAATTCGGCACGGTTCAGGTGCCGGTACGATGGGCGGGGGAACAAGTAGTTCATAGGGGGTCATCACCAGGACCAGCACAACCACCTGAAGCACCGTCACCAGCAGTAGCACCTTCAACATCCTCATTTCCACCTCCCTCTGCCATTGAGCCAGAAGCAGTAGAAAAAGGATGCGGAGGGGGGGGGGGGGGGGGGGGGGGGGGGGGGGGGGAGAGGCTGAGCATTACGGTGCTGGGAGCTTTCATGCACTCACAACCCAGCCTGGGAAGGCTGAGGGGATGGAGGGAAGCGAGGATGTGATAGGGGAAGGAGAGTAAGAGTGTGAGGACAGTGAGGTTCCTTTGTTGCTAAACCCTCCACACACTGCTGGGAGCTTTCATGCACAGAACACCCAGCCTGGGAAGGCTGAGGGAAGGGAGGGAGGAGAGGATGTGACAAGGGAAGGCGAGTAATAGTGTGAGGGATGCTCGGTTCCTTTGTTGCTGAGTGCTCCACACGCTGCTGGGAGCAGTGATGCACTGACCACCCTCTTTCTAAACATGGGGATAGCACCTTGTATAAACCTGGGCCAAGCTGGGGGGACACATGGGGCTGGCAGCGACGAAACAACCGACTATCACGGGAAGAATATGGGGCTATCAAGGGGGGGATAGCTTGGGGGACTCTTGTGGATCGCTCGAAGGAAGCATGGGAGCAAATTGGGGATAAACATGACGCTAGGATGGGAGGAAAAACGGGGAGAGCATGTAGGCATGGAAGTGAGCAGTGCGGCGAGCATTCGGGACGGCACCCAAGGGCAAGCACAGCAAGGCACCCAGCAGGATGCCTACTGGGGAGGGGGATTTGATTTACCCACCTGAGCAGCCAGGTCTCTGGTGGGCAGCACTACCACCGCCCCGCACCACACGCCCTGCCAGCGCCTGCACCACTGGCAGCGCATACGATAGGGTAGGAGGGGGAAAAGATAGGGTGGCAGGGGAGTAAGAAACCAGAAGGAGGGGAGAAACAGTGTAAGCCTGGAGGGGAAGGAAGAGTGTGCATGGGGAAGGAAGAGTGTGCATGGGGAAGGAAGAGTGTGCATGGGGAAGGAAGGCTAGCACGTGTGCAAGGAAATGGCTTAGCAAGGGGGGACCCTAATGAAGGGCTGGGGGGAAATTAGGGGAAAAATGGAGGAAAAGTTGGGGAAGCAAAACGGAAAAAAGACAAAAGAAGCAGGGGTGAGATGGTACGCGGGAGGAGAGTGAAGGAAGGAGAGGGAATGGAGAGGAAAAGGGGCAAGCAGAGGGGGTGAATGAAGGTAAGGGGTGGAAACAGGGAGGAAAAGGAGGGGATCCAGGGAGGGAAAGGAGGGGTTGCAGTGCAGGGGGGAAAAGGGGGGGATGCAGGGAGGAAAAGGAGGGGATGCATGGAGGGAAAGGAGGGGATGCATGGAGGGAAAGGAGGGGATACAGGGAGGGAAAGAAGGGGATGCAGGGAGGGAAAGGAGGGGATGCAGGGAGGAAAAGGAGGGGATGCAGGGAGGGAAAAAAGGGGATGCAGTGCAGGGGGGAAAAGGGGGGGATGCAGGGAGGGAAAGAAGGGGATGCAGGGAGGGAAAGGAGGGGATACAGGGAGGGAAAGGAGGGGATGCAGGGAGGGAAAGAAGGGGATGCAGGGAGGGAAGAAAGGGGATGCAGGGAGGGATGCAGGGGGGGAAAGAAGGGGATGCAGGGAGGGAAAGGGGGGGATGCAGGGAGGGAAAGGAGGGGATGCAAGGAGGGGAAGGAGGGGATGCATGGAGGGGTAGGAGGGGATGCAGTGCTGGGGGAAAAGGGGGGGATGCAGGGAGGGGAAGGAAGGAGCAGAGGCAGCAGAGAGGGCAGAGGGAGCAGAGGGAGCAGAGGGTGCAGAGGCAGCGGAGGCAGCAGGGTAGGGGGGAGCGCACCTTGATCTGGTACAGCTCGAAGACGAAGAAGATTATGTTAGGTTCCACCTCCGCCCCCTGTGAGTCGCACACCAAGGGATGGGGAGAGCCATGCGGCAGGCAGGGGCGACGGAGGGGTGAGGGAGGGTGGGAGGGAGTGCGGGAGTGAGGAGAGGGAGGGGGGAAGAGGAGAGAAGGAAGTGTGACAATAGTGGATGGTTGGGTAGCGGTGGAAGGTGGGGGCGGGCGCGCCTGGCGCAGAGTAGAAGGAACGACAATGGCGCGGGGGGAGCGAATGCGCGCTGGGGGCGCGAGTGCGCACGGGGCGAGCGAGCGAGCGCGGGGGGAGCGAATGCGCGCTGGGGGCGCGAGTGCGCACGGGGCGAGCGAGCGAGCGCGGGGGGAGCGAATGCGCGCTGGGGGCGTGAGTGCGCACGGGGCGAGCGAGCGAGCGCGGGGGGAGCGAATGCGCGCTGGGGGCGCGAGCGCGCACGGAGACCGCGATTGCGCGCGGAGAGCGAGTGAGCGCGGGGGGATCCCGCGTGTGCGGTGCAGCGAATGCGCGCTGGGGGAGCGAGTGAGCGCTGGGGGAGCGAGTGCGCGAGGGGAGCGAGTGAGCGCGGGGGGAGCGAGAGCACGCGGGGAGAGCGAATACGCGCTGGGGGCGCGAGTGCGCGCGGAGGGAGCGAGTGCGCGCGGGGGGAGTTATTTCGCGGGGAGCGGACAGACGTACACATGCGGGGGTGTAGAATGATTCCGTTTATTGTAGCGTAGTCGGACAGCTTTTGCGGACTCACGAGATAATGGTTTAGTGGTCGTGGTGCCTGTTCTGCCGGCCCAGCACCTGATAGAACTTCAAGTGGGGTAGACTAATAATAGAACCCATGGTTATGCTGATTGGTACTTGGTGTTTGCTCTCGAGGTGCTTCTCTTTTGCGAGCACACAATTCCCCCGAGGTGGTGGGGGGGCTTCGGGATTTTCGCCGATACGATCGCCAAGCTGTTTCACTTTCGCTAGGGCGAAATAGTTTTGGGCACTGTAGTCAGCCAAACAGTACTGCCAAATGTATACTGCTGCTTTAATAGCACGACAGAAAATACTGAAATAGTGAAATAGTGAAATACTGAAGTGAGTTTGTCGCAGCGCGAGCTGCGTGCGGATTGCAGATCGCTCCACACCTCCTTTAGAATGGCAGCCATTACGAGGCTCTCAGGCGGCTCGATCGCCGCCAGCTTGCTGCAAGGTCGCAGCCAACGCGATCGCCGGTCGCTTTCCGCTAACCGCGATCCGTCGTTGTTGTCGCTGACACGCGGAACAGCGCACGCTCGGATTTCCAGGTTAGGATTTTTTTGCAGAAATGTTTTCTTGCTCGTATGTGCATGCACGCAGCCGCCGCATGACACGGCACCACTGCCAGTCATTTTGGGCTTCGTAGTGAGATCCTCGAAGTTTGCGAATGCGCGAGATTGTTGAAATATTGAGGATCTCGTTTCGAGGTGCCTCAATAAACATTGTCGTAGGAAGAATAGATGCCTCTTAGTTTGACTGTGCGAACGCGCGAGATGCGGAGCTAGCGAGGATCGCGGTGCACTTCCTTCGTCCTGGTGATCGTCTCCAGTCGCGCGTCTCTCGACATATCAGCCAGTTTCCCCCGTGACTCGTGCATTTATGGGCTATTTCGTTCGCGGGTCGTGACTCTCTCGTCCCTTGTGCCCGGCACTTTCCATCGTACCTGCTTCTATTTTCGCGCATGCTTCTCCTCAATCGTTCCTATCTGTTGACGACTGAAAATGGGATATTGTGTCTGAATGTGCGAGAATCCAGCCGCGTCTCGGTCGCGGTCATTCCCGGATTCTGTATTTGCAAGCAAACCCACTTTCCTTTTCCCTTCCCACGTTCCACCCTACCCGCTGCTGCCTCTCTTAAACCACGCCGCGTCTGTTGCCTTTTGAGGCGTCTCAAGAGCATCTTCCCGTTTGATACGCCGATTTTGAATGTGCGTTATAAATGTGCAGGCGGACGCACCTTCCTGTTTCCTCTCCACGAGCTACCCTACCCGCTGCTGTTTCTGCCTCTGCTGCCTCTGCCGCCGAGGCGCCGGTGAACGGATCTGTGACTATGGAGGGTGTGACTATGCGCGTCCCGCCTCCCCCGCATCCCACGTGTGACGTCATGATGGCCGTGAAAGCCGCCCTGGATGAAGACGCGGGCGATCTCGGTGTGTGGGGGGGAGGAAGGGGGTGGCAGGAGGGCGGGTGACAGAGGGCGTGGGCGACAGGGAATGGGGGGACGGATGGATAGGATTGAGGGGGGGCTTGTCATGATGGCCGTGAAAGCCGCTGTGGACGAAGACGCGGGGGACCTCGGTGCGTGGGCGACAGGAGTGCGTATCAGGGAGGGCGAGTGCGCGGTTGAAAGGAGTGCGTGAGTGATTGTCCTCCTCCCAAGTACTCCTTCCTGCGAGCGCAGGTAGTCTCTCACCTGGGATTTCTGGCACGCGTGTGTGACGTCGTGATGGCCGTGAAAGCCGCTCTGGGCAAAGACGTGGGGGATCGTGGTGCGTGGAGGGGAGGGCCAGGAGCAGGCACATCAGTGGTTGGGTGAAAGTCCCTCACCTCTGTGTCGCTTCTGTCTGACGAAAGACCCTCACCTCAATGTTGCTTCTGTCTGGCGAAAGACCCTCACCTCAATGTTGCTTCTGTCTGACGAAAGACCCTCACCTCAATGTTGCTTCTGTCTGACGAAAGACCCTCACCTCAATGTTGCTTCTGTCTGGCGAAAGACCCTCACCTCAATGTTGCTTCTGTCTGGCGAAAGACCCTCACCTCAATGTTGCTTCTGTCTGGCGAAAGACCCTCACCTCAATGTTGCTTCTGTCTGACGACGCGGGGGATCTCGGTGCGTTGAGGGGAGGGCCAGGGGCAGGCAGATGAGGAGCAGGCAGATGAGTGGTTGGGTGAAGAATCCAAACGATTTTTGCACCTCACGGTCACTTCTTCCTGAGCCAACGGATTTCTTCGTGTTGTGGATATCGAATGCCCTCCTCACCTCACCCACCCCCGCTCTTCCCCCTGTCTCGTTCCCTTGTCCCCACTTCTCTCCCTGCTGTTCCCATCCGCCCTCCCCTCCAGGAGACGTCACGAGTCTGGCGACCATCCCAGCGGGCACACAAGCGAGCGCGCAAGCATACCCTTTTCCCTGCTGTCTCTTCTCCCCCCTTTTTTCCCTTCTCCCGCCCTTCCCCCTCCCCTCCCTCTCATCCCCCCATCAGGTGACGTCACGAGTCTGGCGACCATACCAGCGGGCACACAGGCGAGCGCACAGTTCCTAGCGAAGGGAGGGGGCGTGTTGGCCGGCACACAAGCATACCCATCTTTCCTGTCTCGTCCCCTCCCCTCTCTCCCTTCTCCCCCCTCCCCACCCCCGCCTCCTCCCCCCATCGCCCACCAGGCGACGTCACGAGTCTGGCGACCATCCCAGCGGGCATGCAGGCGAGCGCACCAGCACCCTTTCCCCTGCGCACTCTTCTCATCCCCTTTCCCCATCCTCCCTTCCCCCGTCCTCTCAGGCGACGTCACGAGTCTGGCGACCATCCCAGCGGGCACACAAGCGAGCGCGCAGTTCCTGGCGAAGGAAGGGGGCGTGCTGGCGGGCACTGCGCTCGCCACTGCTGTGTTCCGACTGCTGGAGCCGAGCATTCAGGTGAGGGAAGCGGGAGAAAAGGGGGTTAAGTTGGGTTGGGTGCAGTGAGTGGCAGGTGTGCAGGTGAGGTGGGTGTCTGGCGAAGTGAGTGGCAGGTGTGCAGGTGAGGTGGGTGCCTGGCGAAGTGAGTGGCAGGTGTGCAGGTGAGGTGGGTGCCTGGCGAAGTGAGTGGCAGGTGTGCAGGTGAGGTGGGTGCCTGGCGAAGGAAGGCGGCGTGCTGGCGGGCACTGCTCTGGCAACGGCCGTGTTCCGACTGCTGGAGTCGAGCATTCAGGTGAGCGGGGCGGGGGGCGAGGTGCAGTGGGTCAGGTGGAGCGGGGCGAAGGGCTGAGTTGAGGGTTGAGTTTAGGGGTGGGCTTTATTGTGTGCCTGGCGAAGGAGGGCGGTGTGCTGGCAGGCACACGCTACTACGCATGTCATATTATCGATTTTGATGGCGTTTGCGCTGTGGATGTTACGTGCATGAGAGTGAGCAGGTGGAGTGGAGCAAGGAGGATGGGGACACGGTGGAGAAGGGCGAGGTGTTTGCCACTGTGCAAGGTGAGTCGGGTGCTGCGCTGCTGGTTCCGTGTTGGTAGGAGGCTGAAAAGCTAGGTGCTGAGCGCATGCTGAGCTGAGTTGACTCAAAGTGAGGTGGAGATGGAGACACGGTGGAGAAGGGCAAGGTGTTTGCCACCGTGCAAGGTATGCTGCTCTTCTTACTGGTCCCCTCCCCGCTCCCATGCTTGATCCCTCCCTCCCTCTTCCCCACCCTTTGGCGTAACCTCCCCCCCCCCTCCTCCTCTCTCCCTTCCACCTCCCTCCTCGCTTTACCGCTCCCCTCGCTCCCCTCACACTAATCACCCACCATACAGGGTCGGCGCATGCCATCCTGCAGGGCGAGCGCGTGGCGCTCAACTTAATGCAGCGCATGAGCGGCATTGCCACGTCCACCCGGGTGAGTCAGCATTGCCACGTCCACCAGGGTGAGTCAGCATTGCCACGTCCACCAGGGTGAGTCAGCACCTCCAAGTCACCGTCCTCTCACATCTCACCCTTCCCCTCTAAATCCCTCTCGCCCGTCTCACCTTTCTCACCCCTGTTACCCCCTCTTCTTCCGCTGCTCCCCCCGCTCCCTCTGTCCCTCCACTCTCTCCCCTCTAACTCCTCTCCCTTCTCCATCCACACCTCCGTTCAACATGTCAACACATGATTGAAGCGTCCCGCAACGTCACAGCCACTTGGGCGGATTCACATGTTCTGTCCGTCCCCTCCGATTTCCCCAGTCCCCCCCACTCTCCCCGCCCTGCCGCCTGCTCCCTCCCCTTTTTCTCCCCCTTTCCCCACAGAATAGGCCATGGTAAAGGCAGCCCATCCTGCCACCCCAACCTCTTCTCCCCTTTTCCGCCCTCCCCTTGCCGTTCCTCTTAACCCTCCCCCTCCCTCCCCTCCCCCTCCCCCCCCCCCTGCATGCCAGGCCATGGTGGAGGCAGCCCGCCCTGCCACCGTGCTAGAGACACGCAAGACCGCCCCGGGGCTCAGAATCACCGACAAGTGGGCGGTGAGTGCTGCCTCGCTCGTAGCGCACTTGTAAACTTGCGATGTTCTCCTCTCTGTGTGCACCTGTCCATCTGAGCTGCCTGCAAGAGTGTGTCTGGAGTAGGGGACGGAGTGGCGTGACTAGGAGTCGTGGCCGGGGATTGGCCCTGAAGATTTTGTGGGGAAGTGGTGTGGAAAGTGGTGTGGGGAAGTTCGCAGGCATGGGGAGAATTCGAGCCATTGGGAATCCATTTCTCAAATGTCAGGAGAACTTCGAGAAAGCAAATGCTTAAGCAGGAGCAAACGCCGGGTGTGGCTGTACAACATGGTGCTTGTTTATTTTGTTCCTGCACTTCAGATTCTAATTGGTGGCGGGCAGAACCACCGAGTGGGGCTGTACGACATGCTGTTGATCAAAGACAACCACATCGCTGCTGCCGGTGGTGGTGGTGGGTGGTGTTCCCACTGCCACTAAGGGATCATCCCCTGCCTTTTGCCCCTGTGGTGCCCTCCAGGTGCTGATAGGAGGGGGTCAGAACCACCGAGTGGGGCTGTACGACATGCTGTTGATCAAAGACAACCACATCGCTGCTGCCGGTGGTGGTGGTGGGTGGTGTTCCCACTGCCACTAAGGGATCATCCCCTGCCTTTTGCCCCTGTGGTGCCCTCCAGGTGCTGATAGGAGGGGGTCAGAACCACCGAGTGGGGCTGTACGACATGCTGTTGATCAAAGACAACCACATCGCTGCTGCCGGTGGTGTTCCGGCTGCCATCCACGCTGCCAGAGAGTACATTCGATCCAACGGCCTGGATCTCCCGGTTGAGGTGAGTGAGAAGGGGGGAGAGTGAGTAGGTGTCGTGTCGATGTGAGGGAGAGAAGGTGGCGGGGGAATTTTGTGTGGATGGTGGTGTGCCTGCTGCCATCCATGCTGCCAGAGAGTACATTCGATCCAATTGCCATTTCATGCCCTCCCCCCACACCCCTCCCTATCATCCCTTCGCCCTTCCCACTCCTCCCTCCCTCCTTCCCCGCCCCCCCCCGCGCCCCCCCCCCCTCTCCCATTCCCACCCCCCACACTCACCTGCCACCCCAGGTGGAAGCGCGCACGTTGGAGGAGCTGCAGGAGGTGCTGAGGTGCCGTGGGGAGGGCGTGGGGCGGGTGACGCGGGTGATGCTGGACAACATGGTGGTGCTGCGACGAGGGGGAGGGGACGGTGGAGAGGAAGTGCATGTAGATGTGTCCATGCTGCAGCAGGCTGTGAACATGGTGAACGGGCAGTTGGAAACCGAGGTGAGTTGACTGGAAGACTGGGGGAAATGGCGGGAGTGCACGTGGATGTGTCCATGCTGCAGCAGGCAGTCAACATGGTGAACGGGCAGCTGGAAACCAAGGTAGGATGATGTGAAGATTTGGGAATAGTGCAGGAAAAGCAGGTGCATGTTCTTGGAGATTTAGTTCATGCTTGTTGCTTGTCTTTTGTATCTTTTGCAGGCATCGGGCAATGTGACTTTGGAGACTGTGGGTGCTATTGCTGCAACGGGCGTTGATTTCATATCAAGGTTAGTTACCTAAATTGGTTTTGGTCTGCATCTTTTCTAGTGGTTTTTGTTTTCATCCTTCTTTACTTTCTTATTCTGGAGTGTGTTTTACCCTGTGCTTCTTGTGTTGTGCATGCAGTGGTGCTTTGACCCATTCTGTAAAAGCGCTAGATATCTCGCTCAACATTGACACAGAGCTTGCATTAGACGTTGGTCGGAGGACAAATCGTGCTTAGCCATGAAGGCTTGACAATATATAAGCTCAATCATGATGTAATTTCTGCAACCTTTTATATATGAAGCATCAATAGCCTTCGGTTTGAAGTAGAGCAAAATCGAGTGTCTCCAAATCGGAAATTCGCGCGGTTGCCGTTGAAAAAGCCGCGTGAGCTTTTCGTCAGCGGAGCTGGAATTTTCGCGGACGACGTGTCATGTTGTCGCAGAAGCCCCAACCTCCGCCAGGCACAACAAATTGTGCTGCAACCTGGGTGAAAGCTGGTGGAGCTCGGTCCGTTGGCGTATTGCATGTTGCTCTTGCTGGTTTTCCCTCACATACCCTCCTAGATTCCCCCACGGGCTGGCGGAATATTGATGTTCTAACTGGCAGCACTTTCATTCAAACTGGCCAAGTACAATGCACTTCGCTATTACCAGACCGTGCATGGGTCGGTGCTCAACTTGATGGAGACAATTGGGTAGCCTTTTGATCGGAATACGTCTTTTTTTTGGTAGGGGCGTCGTGGATTGCTAGCTGCCTGTCAGATGGCGAAAAGGTCGAAGGAAATAGGAGACGCAGTATGCAATGGCGAAGTGCGTCCTCTGTTAGATGACCAAGCCGTTTCTTCGTCTCAGTATGGTTCGGTAGTCCCTCCTGCGCTTGATTCTAATGACGACCCGGGCCCGAAGGAAGCTTTAGCACGATGCCTTTCCAAACCGATACAACATGAAAGCTTAGATTATGAGTGAGTGCGACGCTTCGCGCTTCTGTCATCGTTTGGAGACCAATTTCATGAATATAAAGTGACGAAGCTATCTTTACGTTCTTTTCAGGGTTCTTGAGTCTGCGATTCACGACGAGGACTGGCGCTCAAGAACGCGAGTAGAGCATCTCCAGTACACGTTGCTCAAATGGCTCTTTGTCCTGCTCGTTGGTGCTGCTACGGGAGCTGTCGCTTTTTTCATAAACATGGGTGTTGAAAACATCGCAGGCTTCAAGTACGAGATGGTCCGAAAATACATGAAGACCGAAAGGTGAGCCTCGATTGTGCTGTCAATGACTACGTTAGTCCTTCATCGTCTCTGATGCTACCGCTACGTCCTTACTCTCATCCGCTTCTTCAGTTTGCTTGCAGGCTTTCTGATTCTAGTGTGCTCCGACGTCTCTCTCGTCTTCTTCTCCTCGCTCCTCTGTAATGTAATATCGATGGAAGCTGCCGGTTCTGGTATCCCGGACGTCAAAGCGTATCTCAACGGAGTAGACACACCAAGAATATTCGCAGCTAAGACACTGTTTGTCAAGGTACTAAATTCTTTATTACACTCTAATTCGCTATGATGAGAGATTGGCCTTTAATGCATGAATCCGTCTTGCTACTCGCAGATCTTCGGAAGTATCGGCTCTATTGCTGGTGGTCTTGCTGTGGGAAAGGAAGGTCCGCTTGTTCACACAGGGGCGTGTATTGCAAACGTTCTTGGACAAGGTGGCTCCCGGAAGTACCATCTCACGTGGAAATGGTTGCGGTATTTCAAGAATGACAGGGATCGAAGGGATCTGGTGACATGTGGTGCTGCAGCAGGTGTTGCTGGTGCCTTTAGAGCTCCTGTGGGTGGTGTGCTCTTTGCCCTGGAAGAAGCAACCTCTTGGTCAGTGAAGTTGCTTCTGGTCATTGTCTTCATTTGTTGAAGGAAATCTTCATTGGAACCTTTGTTGTTGCTTTGCTGTGCAGGTGGCGAAGTGCTCTTCTTTGGCGAGTCTTTTTCACAAATGCCGTTGTGGCCATGGTCGTCCGTGCTCTTATGACCTATTGTGCCAATGGACATTGTGGGCTTTACAATGGCGGAGGGTTTATCATATTTGATCATACAGAGGCGAAAACGGAGTTTGGAGTGGTGGAAATGTTTCCTGTCATTGGGTTGGGAATTATTGGAGGAATTGCGGGGAGCATTTTTAACCAGCTTAACCTCTCGCTATGCAAGCTGAGACAGCAAGGAAGCAGGTAAATGGGCTGCTCCATCATCTAGTCTTTCTCATTCGTGCTCGATTGTTAATATTGTTATCTTGCTGCTGCATTCAACTTCGGATTGCTTCTTTCTCTCAGGCGAGGAGTGTGGAAAATTGTGGAGGCATGTGCAGTGGCGGCATTGACATCCGCAGTTCGATTCTCCGTGCCGTTCCTGGTCAAGTGTCAGCAATGCCCGGATGGAATTGAATGCCCCAGCAAGACAGAGATGGGGTATTACAAGAGCTTCACTTGCCCTCCGGGCCACTATAACGACATGGCTGGCCTGCTGTTTACACCCAACGATGATTCCATCCGAAGCCTTCTCAGCAGCGGAACACATCATGCATTCTCGTGAGCAACCATCTATCCAACCACACATCTCTACTCCACACCTCGCACCTGGGTCGCAATCCACCCCACATTTCTTCATTTTGTTTTCTCACTGTTTGGTTCCTTGTCCTGCAGGTACACCTCACTTTGCATTTATTTCTGCTGCTTCTACTTCTTGTCCATTCTCACATATGGCATCACTGTGCCGTCGGGCCTTTTTGTGCCTGCAATTGTCTGTGGCGCAACTTATGGCCGCATGGTTGGAAGAATTATGTCCAACTATGCACCAGCAGACAACTTGGACGAGGGGACTTATGCACTCATTGGCACAGCGTCTTTCCTGGGAGGGTCCATGAGGACAACTGTCTCTCTATGTGTGATTCTCCTGGAGTTGACTGGAAGCCTAAAGCTTCTCCCACTCATCATGATTGTGCTGCTGGTTTCGAAGACGGTCGGCGACATGTTCAACAGTGGGATTTACGATGCGCACAACCAGCTGAAGGGGATCCCGTACCTTGAGGCTCATCCAGAGGAGGCGATGCGGCATTACACTGCCAAGGACATTCTAGTCTCTGAGCCGGTGAAGTTTTCAGGCGTGGAGAGTGTGGAGCGGATCTACGATACGCTTCGCACCACAAACCACAACTCTTTCCCAGTCATCGACACCCATGAAGATGGCTCAACATCCTTCTATGGACTTGTCTTGAGAGGTCATCTCTTGGTGCTACTTCGGTCAAAGCAGAGCTTTCTGCTCCATCCACATCAAGTGTCTGAAACTGCCCAGAAGCACCTTGCAGCAGAGGATTTTGGTAAGCCAGGATCAGGTAAGGGGCTGAAGCTGGAGGACATTCAGCTGAGTGAAGAGGAACTTGGAATGTTCCTAGACTTGCATCCTCTCGCCAACAGATCTCCATACATTGTGCCCGAGAGCATGTCTCTCAACAAGGCATACATGCTCTTCAGACAGCTGGGCCTTCGTCATCTTTGTGTGGTTCCCAAGCCGACTCATGTCATGGGCATCATTACCCGCAAAGATCTACTGCCTCAAAACTTCAGTGAGCGGAATGTATCTCAGACGTCATTAGTGTAGGATTTATGCCAACTCCAATTATGTATTGGGTGGAATTTTTCTCTGTTCTGCTCGATCAACGTTCTTTACCCGACAAGGGTGTATGGCACACCTGGAAACATTTTCCCTCTCCAAAAATCCCACTAAATGGTGAACCTCCTGTAAACAACCCCAAACCCAACCGAACCCCAGGACAGCCAGAAACCCTTTAAGATAGTGTGTCAATTCAATTGGCCCTCCACTTCAAAAAAGGATTGCTCCACAATTACAACAAATGAAAGAGGCCTAACGGCACTGTACAGTGTCATTATCTTGAGTGTTTGAGGCTTATGTACGAATTTGTTTTCATGACGGGTCTGGTCTCCGGTAGCTGCTTCGTTCCCCCACATGAAGTTGTTTCAAGCGATTCTTCAACCCTCAGATGAGGAGAGGAGAGTTGTGTGAGGAAGACTACATGTCCATGCTTTTTGTGCTTGCGGGCATGGATGTCATGTCACGGGATTCGATGTGATCCCTGCATGCGTGATGTAGCATTCCTCACGTAGTTGCTGTCTTATTAGTTACCGCTGCTTTCCTGAGGCAGATCGAGATTGTCAGAAGCAGCGTCAGTTCTTGCACCGCTTTTTGAGTTGAGACCCGCCCCCTGGTCAAGACATTCCATTGCCAACGTTTTGTCCAATGATTGTAGCACCCCCTTTCTTCTTTGGCCATGACTTGTGCCGCGTGGAGTTAGTGGACCTCTCATAACACACGTCAACCTGGGTTGACCTACAGTATGTGTATAGGGTGAAAAATGACTCTCCATGAGGATCTAACAGCGCGAAGCACTTCGGCAGTGTCAACCCAAAAACTCGTAGTGGAAGTGCTTACTACTCAGACGTAGAATGGAGAGACAGCGCCTCGGCTTCTGGGCCCTAGTCAACGTATTGAGAGTGAGCGAAACAAAAGGCTTCAAGCCAGAAGTTCTGGCGAATCACAAGGATTGAACAACTTGTTCAATGAAGTGCTGTGACGATGTGCTTTCGCTCGTGAGAACACCTCGATTAACCACCCAAATCAAGGAAAAGGTAACAGATGTGCAACGGAGTCTAGACGAAAGATGAGAATGTTTGCGGAGGAGGAATGATCAAGGCTACCGTAGCTTTTTGTTCATTGCCGCAAGGAAAAGCGAACACTCACGACCATCGGCGGCGTATGCTACGTGGTACAATTGCGCACGTAGGTTTTGGAACAAAACGGAATCTCCTCCTAAGTCTTGTGCAAGGCTGCGGTTGCATCACCCCTCGAGCAATCAATTTCCAGATTTCTAGGGCATTTTCTCGGTCGTGCTTTCCTCCTTTCGGCGCGCTTTAGCAAAGGAGATGGAAGACCGTGTCAAGACAGTCCATAAATATGGCACAACAGTGATGGCCTTGGTGCGGCCGTCTTGCAGCTGCGGATTTCAAAAGCGAATCCTGAGTCTGCTTTCTCAATTCTGCTGCTTCAAGGGGGCACTGGAGTGCAGAACTGGCTTTCATCTCGCCAAATTCACGAACCGAGCAGAATGGTCAGAAAGGGGAGCACCTGGACGAACGGTGTGGTGGCTTGGCTTCTACACATACGGGCATGGAAGACGTGCTTCTATGGTGCCCCCCGACCCGACTCTCCGAGCACATCATCGTATCTCTTGCCAACGAAGTCATGATCAAAATTCATGAGGTCCAGCGAAGGTTTTGACTGCCTAGGGTCTGGCTGATGGGATCGATGGGGAGGAATGTCTGATGGGGTCGATGGGGGAATGGGTCTGGCTTGATGCGGTTGCCTTGGGGGAATGGGTCTGGCTTGATGCGGTTGCCTTGGGGGAAGTCCTGTCATCCCCGAACGTCACCATTTTCGAGCGCATTTCCTGAAGCTGTCGCCAGCCGTGCCCCGCCCCCCACACTTTGGCTCGTGGTGGCGGAGGCAAACACATCTCGGGTCGGGTGGCGACGGCGGAGATGCATGGCGGGAAGGAGATGGAATGGGGGAGATTTGGGGGGATGGGGAGGAGTTGGCGTGGGTCTAGGCTCTGGCTGTACGGTACAGTACCGTCCGTTGCTCCCACAATTTTCCTAGTTTGTGTGGTCTGCAACGGCGGTCCATTGTTCCAGCTGGACAAGATGGTGGCAAGCAGGCACGTGAGCAGTTCTGCCTCGCTGGCATCTCACCTCACAATCCTGCCCGTCAGCTGAACATGTTCGTTCTACATCATGATTCGATGAAAACCTTACCGAGATTGCGGCCCAGGCATTACAAAAGTGCAACTAGGCATTTGGTTTCGTCTGTTCTAATTTTCCTTTTGGCCAAGTTCTTTTCCAATCCATTTACACCCGGCCAACGGGCAACCCAACAAATTTCCTAACACAATGATTGAATTGTGCAGGGTCACGTGGAGTCCGCCCCATCATAAGAGCGACGTGCAAGGAGCAGTTCAACTCTCGCCGGAAATTAGTGCTCGGGCACGATAAGGTGGTGGTGAGGTGGCGGATCCTGTACTGGAAAGGAGGAGTTTTCGTGTACACTCTACACGCCTCACAAAATTTACGACTTACAGTGGAGAAATTTTCCGACGGTAGTGTGGTCATCACACGAAGAGCTTGTTTTTTTCCGATCTTGTTGGAAGATTGTTTCTGAAGAGGCAGATTTCTGTACGCAATCTTCCATGTACAGAAACCAACTGGGAAAATATTCTACTGCTTACTGTAGACAGAGGGTTCGGCCTATCAATCATAACAAGCACCAAGGGGGTACTGGGTGCGCCCTTCTTTCAGGTTGGTGCTACCTGGTGTGCACAACTTCTCATTGCGACGTTTACATAAATGGCTCAAAACTGGGGGAAGACACAAGCCGCTTTTTGGTCAACAACCTGAGAGGTTAGTAGGGTTAATGTAAGAATCTGCCGTGGGAGTTGGGAACCCGTTGGCGTCACCCCATGTGCATTTGTCAAACTCCACGTGTAAGAACCGGAACCGTCGCGGAGCAGTGACGGCGGGGGTATGGAAAATTATGCAACCTGATATATTTTATGATATGGAAAACTACCCATACGAAATTCGTTCTGCTTGTGACGCATCAGCCAGTTTGTGCCCTCAATTCATCAGGAAGGGTCCCGTTACGATTCCATCGCAGAGATTTCGCGACTGTCTGTGCTCAGGGAAAAGTTTTCGCAATTGCTTCGTGTGATGTCGCCAGCCTTCCACAACCATTCCCCACTATGGAGCGTCTTGACAGCCCAGAAGGCGTGCGCGAGCTAGAAGCTCCTTGTTTAGGCTAAAGAGCTCCTCCCGAGCTGTGTCTGAAGAGTTGAAGCAAATTGCATGAGGTCGTTCACTTCCATGCGTTCCTTGACACTGAATTCCAACTGCCCTTGATTGGCATTTTCTTGCCGTTTTTACACTGACATCTTAGCTGATTTGATTCCGCAGAGAGCTCGCTTCGAATTTTGTCGTTCTGAACAGATTTGTTCTCGGGTTTTGTACTGAGAGTAAGAAAATCATGGCTACGCCAATCTGGCCTTCGGATGAAGGAGACGTAACAATTCAAGGAATTCCCTTGGTGAGAACAATTTCTCGTTACACTCGAGCCGTGTCCTTCGCATATTCACCAGCTTACCGTCTTGTGCATGCTCCTTGCGGTCTTCAAGAATCTTATGTTCTTGATTGTTAACATAAACTTCGACCATATGTAGCTCGTGCGAGGACCGGAAGGTACCTACATTCATCTTTCTCTTGTTCTGCTGCCTCCTATCAAGCCTCTTTCCGGATTTCTGGGAAACTCCCAGCTTCCTCGTGTTGACAATAGCCTTCGTTCCCTTTCTCCTGTTTCTTATCATCTCGCATCGCAGTTCGATGACCGAGTGTGGGAAGCATTCGGGGCTGAGGAGCCGGCCGCTCTGCACGACGCTGTACACGTCGGGACATCTGCTCAGACGACGCCGCGTTCGGAGTCTGACAAACACGTCGACCAGAAAGCGTCTAGACCATTCAACGAGACTGCCTTTCCGCATTCGCAGAACCCCACATTCAGCATGTCGCAGACCGAAAGCGGAAAATCCGAAGTTTTTTTTCCTGGTACCCCGAATGACGCGTCTGCCTCTAGAGCCTCCGGTGTTACTCAATCCCACGACCAACTCCCTCTAGAAATCGACGAATGCGTTCTCACGGGAGCTCCGCAATGCTCGCCGGAAGATGCGTTCACGCTCATGGAGCTGACCGACGTGGTCGGCGGAAATGCCGTGTCTGGCGGCGACCATCTGGGTGGCCCGTGCGACGGCGACCATCTGGCGGGGCCGTGCGACATGGACGGCGATATGGATGGCGACCTTTTGCAGGGAGACGACGTTCTTGGTGCGTCGTGGGATGCGTGCGACCATACCGGCAATCTCGAGGCAATTCTCAGGTGCGACGCGACTCGTTCGTTTCACCGCTTCTCACTTCCGCCAACATTGCATCGCATCCCGTTCTTTCTGTTCCATTTTTTTCCTATTTTCAAATCATAAAGTGAGCCATCCCGCTCGATTCTATCCTCCTCCATTGTGTCACCTGTTCTTGTCGCGCCGCATCAGATCCTCGTACCAGCCCGCGAAGCCCTCCCAATGCGGCTCTGCGACAGGCCAGCATTCCGCACAGCCCTCCATTGCGGGAATCCTCTCACACATTCACGCTTCCGCGGCTTCCGCGGCCTCCGCCGTACCGGCGGACGCGGGAAAGCAGCTCTGGGAAGGCCCGGCTGCGGAATTCGAAGCCGCGCGTCGACGCGGAGAATGCGAAACCGAGGAGCGCCGACGCGAAGGCGACGACGGCGAGAACGCCGCGAATTTCGCGAGATTCGCGACGCTTCCATCTGCGGGTGCGGTGGGGGCGACGGAGGGAGGTGGCGCGGAGAGGGCGAACGCGGGAGGGCTTTGCGATTCTGTGCTCCGGTCGCCATCACCTCTGTGCGACAGCATTCCGCAACGCCTGTCGCTTCTGCAGGTGCGCGCAGATGATGGTTCCGTCGACTTTTGAGTCTCGACTCTAAAGTCACCGCGGTTCTATGTACTCGGTGCGCTGCGCGTGTGAAGGCCGTTGACGCGTCGCCTTGTTTGACTAAATCTGACGCCGCGTTGTATTTCCGTGTGTGTGTGTGATGATGTGCAGGCCACGCGGGACGCTGTGACACGGTCGAAAGTGGAAACCCAGCAGATGCAGATGCAACGGGCCCAACAGCAACAGCAGCAGCAGGAGCAGCAGCAGCAGGAGCAGCAGCAGGAGCATCGACAACACCAGCAACAAGAGCAACAAGAGCATCAGGAGCAGCAGCAGCAGCAACAGCAGCAGCAGGAGGGGCAGCAGCAGCTGCAGGATAGTCCTGCATCGTCCTCCTCCACTCGCACTGCTCGCACATCCTCCCCACCCACTCTCCCCACATCGTCCGCTGCCGCTACAGCCACCACCGCTGCCACCACCACTGCCACCACTCCCACGCGCACCACCAAGGCCACAGCCAATGACACTCCTCCCCGCTCCACGCCCATTTCATCCCAGGCCACTCCTGCCGCTGACCAGTCCACTTCTACTCCCGTCACCACTTCTACTCCCCTTCGAAGCATCCGCCCGTCACCGCTGCGCCGAGTCCCCTCGTCGCCCGCCTTCTCCCCCGCTGCTCCCGCTGCTCCCGCTGCTACCGCGTCCCCGTCGCCCTCCCGTCCCCGCGCCTTCCCGCCCACCCCTCCCACCCATCGCACCGTCCCGTACCCCTCCCAACCGGGCCTCTCATTCCCGCCTAGCCCCTCTTCTTTTCCCGCGCTCGCGCCCGCGCCCGCGCCCGCGCCCGCGCCTGCGCCATCCGCGCAGCGCGGACTCCCGCCCTATCCGCGCCTGCCTTTCTTCCCCAACTACCATCAGGCCTATCCCGCGGCCGCGCTTCCCCTTCCCCCCATGCCCGCGAGCTTCTTAGCTGGCGCTGCTTCCGCCGCGACCTCTGCTGGCAGTGCTGCCGCTGCTGGCGCCACTGGTGCTGCGTGTGGTGCTGCTGGCGAGGCAGCGGGTGTTGGTGCTGCTAGCGCATCAGCCGCTGCCACGTCTGGAGCAGCAAATGCTGCCGCAGTGAAGGTATCAACGCCCGGTCGAGTCCCTGCATCTGCTGCAGTTAACGCACCCATCGGCGCAGCCATCAGCGCAACCAGCAATGCACCCACCAGCGCAGCCACCAGCGCAGCCATGGAAGCATCGTCAGCGATTGCTGCTCGTATGGCTGCCCTTGGCGCAGTGCCTCCTCACATGCCCGCTCGCGCTCTCATGCCCTTCCCTGGTGGCCCCATGCCGGCACCCGCGCTCTTCCCGGGAGGCAGCATGCGTCACCCATACCCCCCTGCACTCTTCTACCAATCCAGGCTGCACGCGGCTGCATCGGCTGCTGCGCCTGCAACAGCAGCATCAGCTCCAACAGCAACTGCTGCATCTGCACCTACAGCATATACTCCTGCGTCCGCTCGTGCTACTGCTTCTGCTGCTACTGCTGCTTCTGCTGCTGCGGCGGCGGCGGCTACGATTCTTCCCAAGGGAGGAGAGCGAGGATCGGCAGCGGCAGTGGGAAGCGCGAAAGGTCTCCAGCACGCTGGTGGGTGGATGAGTAAGCAGATGTGGGCGCGGCAGGCTCAGCAGGGGACCAGCTCGCAGCAGGAGCAGCAACTGCTGGGTCGGCAGATGTATCTGTTTCACCGGCAGCAGCAGCTGATGCGCCAGCAGCAGCAGAGGTATCAGCAGCAGCAGGATAAGCAGCGGGAGAAGCAGCAGGGAACACAGCAGGAGAAACAGAAGGAGAAGCGGGACGAGGTGCTGAGAGCAGATCGGCAGGAGCAGCCGTTGAACCTGCACAGAACAAGCGAGGAGAAACCACAACCTGCTGTACGAGTGAAGGAAGAAGCAGGCAGGGACGACATGACCCGCAGCAGTGCCAACATCAGCAGCAACAGCCGCCCTTGCACGTCTGCAGGCGCTGTTGGCGGCGCGTCAGGCAGCACGCCATCTGATGCTGTTGCTGGCGCCGTTTCTGGCTCTGTTGCTGCTGCAGCAGGTGATGCATCGGCACCATCTGCAGCTGTCGCCACCACCACAGACGCTACTTCAAATCCGGGTGAACCTGTTCAGGCTGATGCCTCACTTCTTCCTTCCCCAGCAGCAGCTGCAGCTGCAGCAACGGGCTCAAGTGAAAACCGAATCGAACGTGGCTGTAACGAGGGAAAGAGGGCTCGTGAGGCACAGCAGGAGGCGGAGGCGGGTGAAACGGATGCAATTGAACACGTGCGAGGCAAACGCCTAAAGGCTGCAGACGAGACAGTGAAGCGCGAGCCTGAAGGCAAAGCCAAGGCAGAGGATGCGACTATGGAAGACACAGTGGTGAAAGTGCAGCAGGACGGGTCTCAGGCGAATGGGCCCTCACTGAAATCTGCTGCTTTTTGTGGCAATGCAGCAACAAGGGTGTCAGCAGGAGGGGCAGGGCCAGCAGTTGAGCGAGCTGGTTCAATTGAGTGCGGGGATGCAGGCAAGGACGTCGAGTCTGCCGCATTGGACCACCTCTACTCTACCATTTCTCAGGTGAGCGCTCCCTCTCAGACTCTCCTTTGGAGATCGCACCTTCTCTGCTTGCTTGTCTTCAGTTCAACCTGTGTTATTCTAGTCATTGTGCCTTTGCCTCTGACACCTTCTATTGTGCCTCTCTCTCTTCCTACGCTTGTTTTTTCCTTCCAGCTCGACGCCACCACCCGTGACTGCATTCGCAGTGCCCTCCTGCGCCTTGCCACCAGCGCTCAAGCCCGTGCCATGTCACAATCCACTGCCACTGGCACCGCCACTGGCACCGCCACTGTTCCTGCTTCTCCTGCTGCTTCTTTGCGTGATTGTTCTGCTGCCGATGGTAACGCGTCTGACACTGCTGTTGCTACTGCTGCTGCGGCTGCGTCAAGACCGACATGTGCTTCTGCGGTGCCTTCTGCTGGCGACGCTGCCAACCCCGCATCCACCAATGCAACAAGCCGCACCCCTCAAACAGAGCAGGAGGCTTCGAATCCCACTCCCAGTGCAGATGTTGCCTCCAATGTCAACACTCTCGCCAGCAGTGAGAAGCAACAGCAGCAGTATCAACTGCAGGCGCAGCAACAGCAACATCGCGGCACTTCAGAATCCCACTCCAACAACGCTGTCGACCGTGTGATTGCCAAGCTGCTATTTACGGCGCCACCCACCCCCACCTCCACCCACTCTTTCCCCGCCTCATCCCCTTCCTCCTCGCAATCCACCCACGCAGCTGCCTCAGCGTCTCTCGCGCCATCCCACTCGCACGCAGCCTCAACTCTCCTCATACACTCCCACTCCGCCACCTCCCTCACCGCCTCCTTCTGCTCCTCCGTTACCCCCTCCTCCATCCCACAATCCTCCTCCACGCCGCAAGCTTACACAACCAGCTCGTTGCACCTTCCTCCCCTCGCTCCTCCTCCTCCTCCGCCGCCCCCCCCTGCTCTTTCTCACCCCCATCACACCAGCCCCGCTCCGTCATCGCAAGCAGCATTCCCTGCTGTGCCGCACTCCTTTCCTCTCACGTTGCAGCCGTCACCGAACCATCCTCCATTCCGCCAGACCCCACACGCCCCCCACCACTCTGCCATGTTCCCTTACACTGCCTGCTTCTTACCCTGCTGCTCTGCACCAGATGCTGGGTCCTATCCTCACCTGCAAAACCCGTCCCATCCTTCCTCACTCCATCCGTACCCCCCACCTCCCCAACATGCCCACCTAGTTCCGCTTCCTTCCGCTGGGCCTCGAAACTGGGTGACGTGGCATGGCCAGAGCCAGCCAGCTAGCGAGATGTGGGTCGTTCCAGGTCAGCATTCCCGTGCTGCTGGGGCCGTGGCCGCTGCTTCAGCAGCTGGGGCCGCGAATGCTGCCGGAGAGGCCAGGCAAAGCCAGACTTTGCAGCAGGGAGTGACAAGTGGTTTGGGAAACAACATCGCGGGCGGCGTAAATCGCAATCATCCCTGCTTGGCATGTTACTAGAGAGGCTTGTCAATGTGCCACTTAATGAGATGACAACTATGCCAGTGGAGAAACAAGAGCATGTGTGGCACGTGTGTATTGAGGACATTCGCTAGCTGTGTGCTAGCTGAGGATGTACCTGCACCACAAAATTTGTGGGCTATGGTTTGTACTTGGTGTAAATTCTTGGTTCACTGCTGTCAGTGTTCATTGCTTTCATTTTCAAGCAGCTTTGCCTGCCTGCCATTCTCAAATTCATTGTGACTGTTTATACCAGCATTTATACGGTATAATGCAATCAACGTCAATGAAACCCATTATGGTAAGTAAGAACTACTTCAGAACCTGCTGCTGGTGTAGGAGCTGTTCTGTTACCTTGCAGCTGCAGGGTTAACTGTATATTATAATATAAAACGATTTCAACCTCAAATAGAAACTCTGAGGTGTACCGGTATAATTATATAATATATAATGTAGGCCGGGTGAAGCCCTAATCGCCCCTCTTCTTCTACCCCATCTCATCAAGCTCTGCTTCCCTCACCCGTCTCTTTTTGCTCCTCTCCACTTCCCCACATTCTTCGCTCGCTGCCGAATTTCCACCACCATCCATCACTTCCCTGCGATTCGAGCGCCCGTTGTGTGCGCCCTCCTCCTGCGCTTCCGCTAATTGCGGTGTGCGCTGAGTTATTTCGCGCCGCGGCTCCTCTCTACTGCTCTGCAACGCGAGGATCCGCTGCTGGTCCTCGCTATGCGTACAAGGGTTAGCGGCGGCGTTGCTGGTAGTATTAGGGTTTGCGACAGCTGCGCCGCTTGTCGTTTCAGTCCCGATGACGTCCGTCGCCGCGTTCGTGTTTGTCGCCGCCGTCGTTATTAGCAAGTGTGCTTTCGCCGGGCTCCTGCAACCAATCGCTGCGAAAGACACTGGCAACAAGAAGTCCGGTTCAGACCTCACGTCATTGTACCCCATACAAACAGTCCCGCTTTCGAGCGATTCGCCAGAGGCACGCTCCAACTGTGATTGGTAGTAGTAGTAGCTGCGTGATGCGACCGCCGTCGACGCCAATGCGCGTTTCGGGTTTGGAGCAGGTAACAGGTATGCCACACCTGGCGTATTTGCGTGCAGCGCACGCAGCAGGCTTAGAGATTCCTCAGAAACGTGACCTGCTGGCAGGTATGCACGCAGCAGACTTTGAGATTCCTCCGAAAGATGTTGCGCGGGAAGGTATCCATGCAGCAGCCTTTGATAATCCTCAAAAGCACCTGCCGCCGCCTTTTCCGCTCCGTACCTTGCCCCTCTCGTCCCCCACCTCCGCGTCGCTGAGACGCACGAATGCGGATTTTGTGTCGCCGCAAACCGTCGTGTAGTAGCCGCGGCAAGAGTAGTAGGTTTGTTGGCAGAGCTATGGCCGTTCCGCACGTCAAGCGCCGAGGGAGTTGTTTCGCCGAGACAGTCTGGTGTCGTCATGGGCATTTGAGTCAGCCGACTGGCGTGAACAGAGCCAACCGCATTGACAGGGTCAACAGGTCGGTCACCAGGGTCAACTGGGTGAATAACCGTCGATCTGGGGGACGTTCGCGGCGATTCAAGCGAGTCCTCAGACGAGTCAAGCGAGTCAAGGGACATAACGATGTCTAGATCCATCTCGTCTGGCTCCCATGCCGCCGCCGAGTCGCAGACGACGGGCGCCTCGTCATCATCATCATGCGTCGCCTGCTGCGGCAGCGCCTGATAACGCGCCGCCGAGCTGAGCGGCGCGGCAACGGGCGGACCTCGGGGAGGCGCAGAAGACGAGGAAGATGAGGATGGCGATGATTGCGATGATGGCGACGGAGTCATCATGTTGGCGCCGGTCGCGGTGGGCTCTTTGCAAGTCGCGGTGGGCTCTTTGCTAACGTGTGTGTCGTATGAGGCTTCGGTAGTAACAGGTGATTTGGTCGAACGAAACCTCTGCTACTACTAATAAGAAAGCGTTTTCGAGAAGGGAATGCCACTCAAGGAAGCAACACACGCTTTGACAGTCCGACTGCCGAGTTCTTATCAGACAGGCCGACAGCGACTGAGCTCGATGCGTGCTGCCACCCGTTATCCCTGCAAGCCCCTACTCAATACGGTATTGGCGACCGCAAACAGGAAAGGGGGAAGGGGGGGGGGGGGGGAGGGAGCAAGGGGAGAGAGAGTGGTGAAGGTGGGGGGTTTGTGCTGTGGGCTAGGTTGGGCGTAGCGGAGAGTTCGGAGGGTGCTGCTGTCGAGATGATCGGCGGAAGATTGCTAGATTATGCGGATATTGCGGACACCACGCAACGGTGATCGAGATCCGAGATTGAATAACCTTCCACGGATATGCTCGGTGCCCATATCCTCCTCGCGGGAAGCCCTGAAATCGCCATCTGCCTGAATCCCCAAGACAGGGGAGTCCCCTCCAGGTCCCCTCCCCCTCTCCCATTCTTCTCCCTCCCCCCCTCCCTTTCTCCCGCGCTGTCCGGCGCAAGTGCAGTGGAGCGCTTCTTCCCTGCAGTAGTAAAGATGCATGCACTTCCCGCCGGCCTCTGTGTCGCCGCAAATGTCGCGCTCGTTGGTGAGCGCACCAATGGGGAGCGCTGAGCCAGTCGGGGTTTTCGTAAGTTGGTCTTGGGATGCTGCCAAAAGCCACCGCGTGTTTGTCCTCGAAGCTGACAAGATAAGATTTTCTCAACTTCTGAATCTCCGGGCATGTACAGTTCCGTGCGAGTGTGAACTCTCCTCTCCGCCTCGCGTTTGGTGTGAGAGTGACGGGGAAAGAGAGTGATGGGAAGGGGGGGGGGAATGAATGGGGTGAAGGTTGAGAGGTGGTGAGGAGAGGGATGCCAAGCCAAGCAAAAAACGAATTCTACACAAGAATAAAATGCTCCAAGACGAATTCTAGATTCAGTACAGTAGGTTGATCTTGTGGGCAACACATGGGTTGATGGAGATTCGAATTCGCCTAAGATTGGGTGTGATACACGTGGGTAGCTTTTGGCAGGAGAGAGATAAGCTCAGCGAGCGCCAACGCGTCAGATGCGGAAAATTGCGTTGGTGCTGCTGGGGTATGCGGGGGCAAGAAAGGAAGGAACTGAGGAGGAAGGGTGGGTGGGTGGGGTGGGAGATTGGAGGTGGCGGGTGGCGGGTGGCGGTGTGGAGGGATTTGGGGATGAGCTGGGGTGGGTGGGATGGGGTTTCCGAACCGAGGTTCTGCGCACCAGCCGCGAGGGGCATCCGAATCTCGATCGGCCATGTGTTGCCCACATGCAGGGCTTTTTTTTTTCAGGGTGTCTTATCCGGCCTATCGTGAACATCCGGGTAAGTACACTACGCAAATAGCAGGATGAGGGGATTTGGACTCCGGCCCATTTCAGGATTGGTTATATTTTTAACGCGGATGGGGTCGATTTCGTGTGTTTTCAGCGCGGCCCCGAATTCTAGCTGTATTGTTCACCACCCTGCCACGCAAAGTTGAACTACTTCGTGTCCTCTCTGGTTCGGGAAAAACGAAAGTCCCTAAATCCGTCTGCTTAAAAGAGTACAGCGATTTCCAGTGTATTGCGCCGCCGTAACCCAGCCAAAGTCGAGTGCCACTCGGCCCAGCGAGTGGCGCGCGCCGGTGCTCCCTTATGGAAGGATGCCACAAAACAAGAAATATTTTGGCCATTTGTACCCATAAGCCCAGCATTGTCTTTACCCTGCATATTTGCTCATAAAACATTGCCTGCCTTACCCTGGGAGAACTCCCAAATACACAAAACGGCTCCAAAGCGGCTTGGGGAATATGGTCAAGCGCACAGGCGCTGACCCTTCACTTCCCTCCCAAGCGCACAAGCAGAAATTGCCTACATTGCCTGTATGGCTGGCACAAGAGGAAGCAGCATTCTTGGCCACCTCATGTTTGAATGTAGTTGTTTGTGACAAGGGGAGGTCTAAATTGTACTCGTGTAATAGTAATTGGGCGAAAGGCATGTAACATCGTGAATGCACTAACAACAAACAAAGCACACCAACACTGTTGGGGAAAAAACAAGCATGTTACAATGCCCGTTGTTTATAAGCACTCTATACCAGGCGCGTAACTTGGCGAACACGTCTAATTGACAAAATCGCTTTTAAGCCCATATGAAATGCACAAGTTGGGGGACTCCCTTATGGAAGGATGCCACAAAACAAGAAATATTTTGGCCATTTGTACCCATAAGCCCAGCATTGTCTTTACCCTGCATATTTGCTCATAAAACATTGCCTGCCTTACCCTGGGAGAACTCCCAAATACACAAAACGGCTCCAAAGCGGCTTGGGGAATATGGTCAAGCGCACAGGCGCTGACCCTTCACTTCCCTCCCAAGCGCACAAGCAGAAATTGCCTACATTGCCTGTATGGCTGGCACAAGAGGAAGCAGCATTCTTGGCCACCTCATGTTTGAATGTAGTTGTTTGTGACAAGGGGAGGTCTAAATTGTACTCGTGTAATAGTAATTGGGCGAAAGGCATGTAACATCGTGAATGCACTAACAACAAACAAAGCACACCAACACTGTTGGGGAAAAAACAAGCATGTTACAATGCCCGTTGTTTATAAGCACTCTATACCAGGCGCGTAACTTGGCGAACACGTCTAATTGACAAAATCGCTTTTAAGCCCATATGAAATGCACAAGTTGGGGGACTCTATCGAGAAATTTACATGTACACCTTTCATTCTTGAGCTTTGTACCAGCGGGCGTCTGTCAGGCTGATTTTGTCTTATTTAAAAAGTCATACAAAACCATACCGAAAAATCTCTAACCGCTCTCAACCTTCTGTTTCTTCAGGCAAGTTAGCATAACCAGAACGAGATGTACACCTCGTCCTTTTCGCTCCCCATTTCCGGGGCAGCGCTCTCCACCCGCACGAGCTTCATTCAGGCCAAAAGGGCTTTTGCAGGGTTTTAGGGTAAAACCCGTTTATTCTCTTATAGCAAATGGTCTAATGTATCCATATACGTTTCCATGATTACGTAGAACGTGGGGAGTCTTTTAGCGAGCATATGCGTCTGCATGAACAGAGCATCCCCTGCTGGCTGAAGGGGCAGAACACAAGGCCGGGGCGGGGTGGTAAAAATGTTTGTGTGGACCTCGTCTCTTGGGCGTTTCGTTTCTTGGCTTTCTGCTGGAATGCTTGTGTACCACCAACCAGAATGAGCGCCCTTATTCTGATTGTCGGTTGGTCGGCCATTGCAATGCATAACAGTCGTCAAGGTTAAATTTCGTTTACGCTTGGGGTTCACGAGCAGAGCCAGATGCAGTACATATTTTTTGAAAGGTTGTTTGTTCTTCGATTCTGAAAGTTCACGAAGAAGTCATGGCCTCCATAGATGATGTGGACGAGACTATGATGCTCGCACGCTACTTAGCGTCTCACGGAGGCGCGTGGCCTATCGCCGATACGCGAACGCCTTCGTCCTCTCTCGCAACTCACTGCGCCAGCGATATCCGTGACGCAACAAAATTACAATCTCGAGCTGGCGGTAGCGCTGCAGCTATGTGGAGAAAATCGGCGTCTGAATCATGCCGTAGCATCGGCGCCAGGACTAACGCAACGCCTACTCCGCTGAAGCGTGACCTATTCAGGTCTTCATCCGAAGCCGCACAGCAACTCCCCTCACACGTTAATTTCTATGTCCAGAGTCCCTTAGTCAGCAGCGGCGCAGAATCTCCCTTTGCCAGAGTATCTCCTCGCCGCTCGTCTGACGTGGGTCTTTCAAGAATCAGGCGAGTTTCTGGAATCTCGCTCGTGCTAGCAGCAGAGACTGGTTGATGTGGAAATTTATTTGAACTCTCGCTGACTCAGGGGATCGAGGAGCTTGCGGAAATCTCGTAGTGGCGGAAATTTCAGGATTGAAGACTTACGAGTGCAGCGAGAGCAAGCCGCGGAGTCGCCCTTTTTTTTGCAGATGGGACAGGAATGCCTCGCACCCTGTTGCACTGGGAAAACGATGCGGCAAGGGGCCCGGACTGTCACTGAAAGGACTCCCCTTAGCCTGTGTTCATTCCTCGAAAAGTATGCTCAGTGTGTGGTCCATATATGTGCGAAACGTCTTCAGAAGGGGCTCATGCCCTTAGGAGGGGACGGATGGATGCAACGACTGGAATGCAGATTGCAGGCTGTGCTTGTCCAGGCAAATGCTGAAGCAGGCGTGTGATGGGAAGAGCGAGAGGTGACAGGGAGGCTTGACACATCTCCTAATGTAGGGGCAATTTTGATATTGAAGTCCCCCTTTTTTTCCTATGCACTTCAGACCTTTTCCTGTGGAAAGTGTGAAGTTGCAAGAGTTGTGTATTCATGTATTTTGTTGCTGTCTGTGTATACTGTGGAGTGATGTATTGCTTGCCTCATCTTGCACCTGATTTGCCAAAGTGGTGAGAAATAGATTGGCATTTGTTTGTAACCAGGACTTTCAGCTCTGGTACTGTACAGCCAGTCATGTGTACGCTCAAGAAACACCATATTCACCGTCTGTATGCACTGATGAAGAACCTCTAGAGCTAGTGAAACATCTCAAACAACCCTGCAGTGCTGATCAGTTCTGACCTTCACCTGCGTGCTCCATCACAACCTGACGGTGCTTCTCAAACGCGAAGTAGGTAACCTTGGGGCTGATGGGAGAGGTCAGGTCAACATTACCACTTCTTTGTCTGCTGCTACGTGGAGTGAACAACCCCCTCCGATCTGGCAATGTCACAGGTGTTGAAGGGGTAAGTTCGCCTTCCTCTTCCTCCGCCATCACAGTCAGCTCCTTGGCAGGCGCACAAGCCAGCATACTACCCGCTTCCACATAATCAGCAAAGCCC